CGGGAGGCTGAGGCAGGAGGATCGCTTCAGCCCAGGAGTTTGAGGTTGCTGTGAGCGAGGCTGACGCCACGGCACTCACTCTAGCCTGGGCAACAAGTGAGACTCTGTCTCAAAAAAAAAAAAAAAGGTCATTCTATCAAAGGGACACTTACCCCCACGTGTGTTGTAGCGCCACTCCCAGGGGCACAGATATGGAACCCACCGTGTCCACCCCAGACCGCTGGACACCAGAGGCCGAGAAGGGGTTGTGTGGGTAGGGGGGTTGGAGGGAGGTTGGTTATCGGGCACAGACATGCAGTTAGACAAAAAGAATTAATGCTATTGTCCCATAGCTGACTAGGGTGACGATATTAGCAACAATGTATCGTATATTTCAAAGTAGCTACACCAGGGGACTTGAAATGTCCCCAGTGCAAAGATGAGATAAACGCCCAAGGCAGTGGACACCTCAGGGACCCTGCCCTGCTCGTTTACACAGTCTGTACTTGCAACAAGATGTCACACGGACCCCGAACATACGTAAAATATTCTGTAGCAATTAAAAAGATCAACGACTTTTTTTAAAAGAACACATTCTCTGAGGTCTAGTCCTCGAGATCTTCCCCAGCTCACCTCCTGTGAGTCCCATTTTGCAGACGGTAAAACTAAGTCAAAGCTCGGAGAGGGGAGGTGGCCCCCTCCGGCGTCTCCAAGCCGTTAACGCTAAGCAGCAAAGCCTGGCTTTGAACCCGGGTTTGCCCGCCGTCCTGGCGTCCGCCCTTGACCTTGGAGGCAGGCAGCGTCCCCGTAGGAGTGCGGTCGGTCGGTCGTGGCAGTCGCTGCTGTGGTGACAGGACGTCCGGCTGAATGCGACGTGGGTGGGGCGTGGCCTCCGTCCCCACGAAGCCAGCAGGTCGGGAAGAGAGCAAAGAGGGAGAAACAAACCTGTTTGTTTTTCCTGGTTTTCCCTGTCCCCGCAGCCCCTCCCAACACGCTGAATTTTGGTGGAACGCACCGCAAGAGGAAGACACTGGTGGCCCCGGACATCAACATCTCCCTGGATCAGAGCGAGGGCTCTCTGCTGTCTGACGACTTCTTGGACACCCCTGACGACCTGGACATCAACGTGGACGACATCGAGACCCCGGACGAGACCGACTCGCTGGAGTTCCTGGGGAATGGGAACGAGCTGGAGTGGGAAGGTGACGCGTGGGCGTCCCTGCGGCTTACCGCGGCCGCCCCTTGTCCCCGGGAGCCCAGAGAGTGACGACGGGCGGGGCGGAGGCTCGAACCTGGGCTCCAGGAGGGTCCGTCCGTGTGTCACCCATTCCCCCGCCCCTGGTGCATTTTTCTTGTGGACTTGAGAATTTTTCTGAGAGCGTGGCCGTCACCAGAGTCTCTCTGCAACGTCCGGGGTCATCTGTGGTCGTCACGACTCAGGGAGGGGCAGCTCCTGGGATGGGGGTGGGGCAGGGTCGCTGCTCGGCATCTGCAGCCTAGGACGCCCCGCCCCAGAGCAGGGCCCAGCCCAGCGCCCACGGTGTCCTGCAGGCAGAAGCCGCGTGCCCAGAGGCAGGCGCTCTGAGAACGTGGCCGGCACAGGCCACCCTGCCGGGCGTCGTCGTAGCCGAGGTCCAGGGAAGAGCTAGGGTGGGAAAGGCTTCCAGTGTGATTGGCGTGGAGGTTGGGCAAAGCCGCAGAGGTGACCGGGTGGGTGGTGGGGACAGAGACAGAGGCGGCAGGTGGCAGAGGGTCTAGGACGTCGCGGGCAAGGAGTGTGGCTTTTATTCCCAGCATGGTGGTCAGCTGTCCCCGGTCCACCGGATTTGATTTTGACTGACCCAGTCTCCTTACGTCTTCCGGGTCTGCCCGGATTCCCTGTAGTATTTCTTCTTGAGTCCGTTTTGGTAGTTTGAGTGTTTCTGAGAACCTGTCTGTTTCATCTCAGTTACCCGATTTGTTGGCGTGCAACTGTTTAGCGCCTTATGTTTGCAGCCGCTGGGGGATTTTAAGTAAATGGGTGGCACGATCCGACTTGGGGTTTTAAAAACAACTCTCTGGAGGTCGAGGGACAGACCACGGGGGGGAGTTCAGGGCCGGGTCCAGGCACGAGACAGTGAGACAGGGCCCCCCCGAGATGGGTGTGTAAACGCCAAGGGCTGGGCGGGATTTGGGGAGCCAGGAAGGGGGTGGGGGAGGGGATTCAGATCCCACTGGGGACAGAACGAGGGTTGATCCTGCCCCTCCCCCCCCGACCCCCGTGTGCCAGGCTCCCAGGAGAATGAAAACCAAGTGCCCATGCCCGGGAGCACACTCGTGGTGTGCCGAAGCAGACGCATGCTTTCCCAGGCTCTGGGAAGCCCCAGGATGGGCCTCCAAAATGAACACTCCTGGAAGGCTTCCTGGAGGAGGTGGCATTTGAGCCGGGCCTCGAAGGGGGAGCAGGAGAGGAAACTGGGCCCGCGGGGCAGCCAGGCTGGGAGAAGCAAAGGGCACGTGGTGCCCGGCAGCAAAGGGAGGCGGGAGAGGATGGCTGGGCGGGGGGGTTCAGGGAGACGTCTGCACTCAGGCGTCCCTTCAGCTCACGGCTCCGGTCTGGCTCCAGATGACACCCCCGTGGCCACCGCCAAGAACATGCCCGGGGACAGCGCGGATCTGTTTGGGGACGGCGCGGCGGAGGACGGCAGCGCCGCCAACGGGCGCCTGTGGCGCACGGTGATCATCGGGGAGCAGGAGCACCGCATCGACCTGCACATGATCCGGCCCTACATGAAGGTGGTCACCCACGGAGGTGAGCACGGGGCCACGGGGGCTTGGGGCTTGGGGCAGACGGGAGACGAGGGCGGGCTGGGGGGCGCGTGGGGCCGCTCAGGCCCGGGGGCCACTCGCCTCCTGCCTCCCCCCAGGGTACTACGGCGAAGGCCTCAACGCCATCATCGTCTTCGCCGCCTGCTTCCTCCCGGACAGCAGCTCCCCGGACTACCACTACATCATGGAGAACCTCTTCCTGTGAGTCGCCGCCCCGCGCCCGGGGCCGCGCCGGCTGCTGGGGGCACCAGGAAAGGGGTGGCTGCCACGGGCCTCGAACTGAGCCCCTCCTGGCCCACCGACTCACCAGCGGCCTTCCTCCTGGGCCTCCCTGTCCTCCTCCATCCCCTCCTCCTCCTCCTCATCACCGTCACCGTCCCCACCGTTTACTGAGCACTTGTTAATACTACAAGGCAGCTGCAGCGCCAAGTGCTGCCTATGTGTTGATGCGTCAGCCTTTACCACAGCCCTACGGGGTTCATGTCCTTGCCTCCCGTCCCGTGGATGAGGAATCTGAGGCACAGAGAGGCTGAGCCGCTCGCCCAAGGACACACAGCAACGGTTTTATTATGACAGATATAGATGGCGCTTAGCAAGCACCTGATATCATTAAGACTCAGGAAATCATTGGTTCTCCTTTCATTGTTCTTACTAAGATTTCCAGGCTGTGCATGGTGGCTCACACCCAGAATCTCAGTGCTTTGGGAGGCTGAGGCAGGAGGATCGCTTGAGGCCAAGAATTAGAGACCAGCCTGGGCAAGAGCCAGACCCCTGTGTCTGCTAAAAATAGAAAAATTAGCCAGGTGTAGTGGTGCCTTTAGTCCCTGCTACTCGAGGATCACTTGAGCCCAGGAGTTGGAGGCTGCCGTGAGCTGTGGTGACGCCACTGCACTCCAGCCTGGTGACAGAGCCAGCCCAGGAAAACATTCTTTTAGAATCACTCAGGGAGAGAGAAGTCTGAGATGGATCGCAGATCTCCTGACTTCTGGTGCCTGGGGCCCTTCTGCCACGGCCCTGGCTCTCCGTGGGCACCTGTCCCCACTCTCATGGGGACAATGAATAGCCAACCCTCCTCGTTAGTCTCAGGAGACGTTCCAGGGGATCATGCACACACGAAACACTTGCATCTAATAAGTGCCCAATAACACGGCAGTTTCTGCGACCATGGTGCCCACTGCCATGCCCTTGGGTGGGCTGGGACTCCCGAGCCCCGTCCCCAGCCAGGATGCCACACCACACCTGAACAGGTGAGGCTGGCCCGGCCGGGACAGAGGTGGGAGCAGACGGCACAGGGGCCACGGGTGTCCCGAGGCCGGGCGCCTGCGTGCCAGGTCCCTCACTCCCGCCCCCCCTGCGAGCAGGTACGTCATCAGCAGCCTCGAGCTGCTGGTGGCCGAGGACTACATGATCGTGTACCTGAACGGCGCCACGCCGCGGCGCAGGATGCCCGGCATCGGCTGGCTGAAGAAATGCTACCAGATGATCGACCGGAGGTGAGGGGCTGGGGCGCGGCCGCCCGGGGAGCAAGGGGCTCGAGGAAACCCACGGAGCACCTGCGTGGCCCTGAGCGGCCAGGCCCTTCTGGAGGGTGGGGTGGCGGGTCGCAGGGCGGCAGTGACACAGACCAGGGCCTTAAGCCACAGCCCTTTGTCCTCTCTCTGGGCTCGGGGGGCCAAAGTCCGGCAGCACGGTGTCCCAGCGTGGGCCCCTTCCAAGGCGCGTGGGGCGATTCTGTTCCGCGCCTCTCTCCGACCGTCTGGGGGCCGTTGGCAAGCTCTGGGGTCCCTCGGCCTCTAGACGCGTCACCCTTATCTCTGCCTTAGTGTTCCCATGGCGTCCTCCCTCTGCCGTCCCTTTTCATGGCTGTGTGGTATTCCACAGTATGGACACGCTACATTTCGGTCTCTCCCTTATTCCCACCCCCCAGGGGTCTCAGGGAGCCAGGGCTGTGTCCGTGTCCTGTGGGGGGACCTGCGACTCCGGGTGGGGCAGGGGTCGGAGCAGGGATGTGATGGGCACCTGGAGCCACGTGCAGAGGCGGCGCCTGCGTGGGAACGCTGGCGTGGGGCTCTCACCCCTGCTCCTCCCCTCCCCGGGCCCCTCCCCGCCCGCCCGGCGCTCACCCCTCCTCTGCTCCCCACACAGACTGCGGAAAAACCTGAAGTCCCTGATCATCGTGCACCCGTCGTGGTTCATCCGGACCGTGCTGGCCATCTCCCGCCCCTTCATCAGGTGGGCCGGGGGCCGGGGCCCGTGCGGGACACCGTGTGCACACGTGTTTCATCCGTGTCACCCAGCTTCTCCAAGATGAATGTGTGTTATGGCCTTAAATAGTTTTAAATGATAAATGCATAGTTACGAAGTGCCAAGCGTGGGGAAACATATTGAGTGTTGGCTGGGCGCGGCGGCTCACGCCTGCAATCCTAGCACTCGGGGAGGCCGAGGTGGGAGGATCGCTCGAGCTCAGGAGTTCAAGACCAGCCTGGGCAACATAGCAAGACCCCGTCTCTACAAAAAATACAAAAATTAGCCAGGCGAGGTGGAACGGACCTGTAGTCCCAGATACTCGGGAGGCTGAGGCAGGAGGATCGATTGAGCCCAGGCGTTGGAGGCTGCAGGGAGCTATGCTGACACCACTGCACTTTAGCCCAGGCTACAGAGTAAGATCCTGTTTAAAAAAAAAAAAAAGGAGGAAAGTAAGAGAGAGAGAGAGGGATGAAACAATGAATGAATGAATGAATGAATGAATGAATGAATGAATGGCGGGAACACCGCCCAGAGTCCAGTAGAATCTCCTGGTCTCTCAGCCTCATCGCATGAGATCATTCACCGGGGACAGGCGCCGAGCACGTGGCCCTGCTCGCCAGGGCTTCGGGGCGGACTCGGGGTCTGCTCTGTCCACCCCAGAGACGACAGAGTCTGGCCTCGGGTGGGAGGGGCGGGAGGTGGGGACATACGTGCTGGGGCGGCCCTGGCCCCGGTGCTCCGTCCACGCCTTGGTGACCCAGCCCCGCCCCCTGCCCCGCCAGCGTCAAGTTCATCAGCAAGATCCAGTACGTGCACAGCCTGGAAGACCTGGGGCAGCTCATCCCCATGGACCACGTGCAGATCCCGGACTGCGTCCTGCAGTGAGTGTCCCCGGCCACCCGCGCCCACCCCCACCTTCCGCCCCAGGCTCCTCCCCGCCCCGCCCCCACCTTCCGCCCCAGGCTCCTCCCCGCCCCGCCCCCACCTTCCGCCCCAGGCTCCTCCCCGCCCCGCCCCCACGGCGCCGGCGGTGGGGGGGGTGGGGACTAGACCGCGCCCATTTGACTTCCTAGAGTCCCTCGGACCACCCAGGGCTTGGGCGTGGGCACGCAGCTGTGGTGCTGCTCTGTTTTCAACAAGCACCACGTCATCAATACCCCCCAGCGCCGCTCCCCGCAGTCATTTCAAGCCACAGAAAATTCTCATTAAGCATCATTTTCCAAAATTGTGGTAAAATAGACAGAACATAAAATGTGCCATCTTAGGCGTTTTCAAGCGCACAGCTCAGCGGCACTGAGCACGTTCCCAGCGCTGCGCAGCGTCACCGCCCTCCGTCTCCGGAACTTTCTCGTCTTCCCAAACTGACGCGCTGTCCCCATGAAACACTCCCTCCCCACCCCTTCCCCGGCACCCGCCACCCTGCTTCCTGTCCCTGTGGCTCTGACGACTCCAGGGACCTCCTGGGAGTGGGGTCACACAGGATGGGTCCTTCTGTGTCCGGCGTCTCTCACTGAGCACGATGTGCTCAAGGTGTGGCCTGTGTCACAGCCTCCTCCCTTTTCATGGCTGCGTGATATTCCAGCGTGTGGATGGACCACGTCGTGTGTGTCCATCCGTCGGTCCATGGACACCTGGGCTGTTCCCACCCTCTGGCCGCTGTGTGCAGTGCTGCTGTGAACACGGGCGCACAAATATGTCTTCCAGTCCCTGCTTTCGAGTCTTTTGAGGATACACCCACAGGTGGAATTGCTGAAAATTCCATATTTAAGGTGTTGAGAAACCACCATACTATTTTCCATAGGGACTGCATCAGTTAACTGTTTCCACCAGCAGTGCAAAAGGACTCTAAGCCATCCATCCTTTTATTTATATATTTTAATTTTTATTATCTTATTTTTTTTGAGACAGAATCTCACTCTGTTGCCCGGGCTAGAGTGCCGTGGCGTCATCATAGCTCACAGCAACCTCAAACTCCTGGGCTCAGGTGATCCTCCTGCCTCAGCCTCCCGAGTAGCTGGGACTACAGGAACGCACCACCATGCCCGGCTAATTTTTTCTATATCATTTTAGTTGGCCAATTAATTTCTTTCTATTTTTAGTAGAGAGGGTCTCACTCTTGCTGGGCTGGTTTTGAACTCCTGACCTTGAGTGATCCTCCAGCTCGGCTCCAGAGTGCTAGGATTACAGGCATGAGCCACCACACCCGGCCCACTCTGCTTGTTTTTGTAAATAAAGTTTTATTAGCACGCAGTTATGCTCATTCGCTTACAGATCATCCGTGGCTCTTTTGTGCAGAGTTGAGTAGTTGCAACAGAGACTGTCTGGTCCTCGAAGCCAAAAATAGTTACTTCCTGTCACTTTACAGAGAAAGTCTGAGGAGCGCTGATACAGGGACAGGTGGATTAACCGGTGTCTGGAGGGCATTGCCTTGTCAGGGCGCTGTCCAGCCGCTGGTGCTGAACGGGGCAAAAAATGTCTGCTGAGTAACATGGCACAGATGCTGCAATGCAGCAGCAGGGTAGATGTCCCCCGCCTTGGGGAACTTGCAAAGTTGGAGCAGGAAATGTGCACAAGAAGACAAGAAACTGTTGGCTCGGGCCACACGCACTGCCCTGCAGCCCTGTGTGTGTTTGCACACGACTGTGAGATTGTTTTCTCTGCTCACAAAGGAGAAGAAAATCCTGGGGAAAGGAGGGTTGTGTCTGATGTCCTTTTCTTTCGTTCAGGTATGAGGAGGAAAGGCTTAAGGCCAGGAGAGAGAGGTACGTGCAGAGTGGCCCCTATCGGGGCTGGGTCCGGGGCTGGGGGCTGAGCTGGGTCCTCAGGTCGGGGGTGGCCCGGTGACTTCTGCTCGGCAGGGACCAACATCTTGCCCACGGCTCAAGGCCCTGCCCTTCTGGCGGGGGCTTTGGAGTTAGACCCGGGCTCCAGGTGCAAAGGAAGCAAAAAGTTCCCACCCGCCTTGGCGGTTATTGCGAAAATTCAGGAACAACCTGGCAAAAAGAGGGGGCACCGGGTTCACGCTCCGTAAAGAATAGTCGTCACTGTGGTGTCACATCAAGGTCTCTCGTCACTGACGGAACATGAGCCTGACATCGACCCCGGCAGACACGGAAACGCACCCTCGCTAACGTATTGGCTCGGTTTCCACGGGTGGCACGGGCCACTTGCATCGCATACAGAATTTTAGGACTGTTCCGGCCCCAACCAGATATGGAGTCCTCAGACCAGCTCCTGGGTACTTTAGAATCCCCGCGAGGGCCAGGCAGGGCGAGGATGCTTATCAGCGTCTCACAGCCAAGAAATCTGTGGCCCAGAGAGGGCAAGGCACCTGCCCGAGGCCACACAGCAAGTCTGTGCAAGCGCCGAGGCTTTCTGCGGCTCGAAGCCATTTATGACGCCAGGTCTGATGCCAGCCCCGGAGGAAACAGAGGCACATAAAACAGAGTCCTGTTTCTAGAAGTTTTCTCAAATAGCCTGGGAGAGGGAAGCCACGCCCATCTGGAAAACAGGTCCCCAGGGAGAAGGGAAAAAAACGGCGAGGCCGGTGGGGGGAGCTGAGAGACCCTCGGCCCAGCCTGGCTGATCTCCCTTGACCCCTTGACCCCTCTCGCTCTCTGTCCACAGCGCGAGGCCCCCGCCGGAGTTCGTCCTGCCCAGGTCCGAAGAGAAGCCGGAGGTGGGGCCGGTGGAGGACAGGTGGGTGGCACATGACCCTGGGGCGAGACCGGGGCTGCCAAGTCCCCAGGGGCAGAAAACAGAACCGAGTGACGCCTCCGCCCGGGAGCAAGGTGGGCCACGCAGCCACGTGGTCTCCGCGTAGACTGAGCCGATTCCAGCCGCGCCCACCGGCCGATGGGGCCCGCGCTGCAGGGTTGGCACAGCTCAGGGGCTTTTCCCAGGAGGGGCTGCCCTCACATCGTCCTGTGAGCGGCCACAGCAGCCAAAGCCGGCACGTCGGGCGGGGGCCCACGTGGAGCGGGAAGTCCAGGGCATTACTCACTGGTGTCCCCCAGAGCTCCACCTTCAGCCAATGACTCCGATTCCAAAACCACCTGCTCATAGTGTGGACGTCCCAGCCCGGCCCCGTCCTAACTGTGGCCTCACGCACATCGGTGACCCTCTGGGCCTCAGTGCTGCCACCTGTAAAGCGGGGGTGACCACAGGGCCAGCGGGAGGGTTGAATAAAGGGACCCACATTAATGCTCATAGTGTCTCCGTTCAAGGCTAAGCACACAGAAACGTTCAGATAAGAGTTACGGCGATGTTATCGTGCTACCGCGATCAGATGTCTTCATAATGATAAAAGGGGACTTTTGTCCAAGTCCCAGCGGGTAGATCCAGCCTCCCCGAGTCCAGCAGGTATCCTGAGCGACAGTATTGGTTTTGTTTTGTGTTAGTGAAGGGCCTTGGCCAATGTCCTCAAAACTGCCCATCCAGGCTCGTTTGTTACGCAGCAGGTGCACACTGACGTCTGCAAGGGACCAGACCGAGCAGTGTCCCCTCTCATGGGGCTCACAGCCTCCACCAATAGGTAGAAAATGCCCTCGTGCCCCAAAATAGGCACATAATAATGCCATGCCCCTTCTCTCTCTCACACAGATCTGCTCTCGTCACAGAAGATCAGGAAACAAGGTGAGTGTGGTGGATGGATGGATGGATGGGTGGGTAGGTGGATGGATGGATGGATAGGTGGGTGGATGGATGGATGGATGGGTAGATGGATGGATGGATGTGTGGATGAATGGGCGGGTGGATAAGTGGGTAGGTAGGTGGATAAATGGGTGGGTGGATGGGTGGGTAAGTGGGTGGATGGCTAGATGGACAAATGGGTGGGTTGACACCGTTGTCCGGTCCCACTGAGGGCACAAGTCCCAAGGGTCTGCTTTGCTGTGGCACTGGTTAGGACGCCCCCTTCAGAGCCTGGCTTGAAAAGTGGTGGCAGGCCAGGCGTGGTGGCTCACGCCTGTAATCCTAGCACTTTGGGAGGCTGAGGCGGGCGGATTGCTCGAGGTCAGGAGTTTGAAACCAGCCTGAGCAAGAGCAAGACCCCGTTTCTACTTTTCTACTTTTATAGTAGAAAATTAATTGGCCAACTAATATATATAGAAAAAATCAGCCGGGCATGGTGGCGCATGCCTGTAGTCCCAGTCCGCCCACGTGGACCAGCATCTTCCAGTTTTACTGCTAACGATAACCCGGCCTGTGTTTCTCTCCAGCATGTCCTGAGGTGACCAGAGCACAGAGAAGGACACGCAAGAGGACTCCAGATGCCAAGAAACCTCTCTGATGCCCTCTGGCCCCGGACCTCATCCCTCCTCGCCTCGACTCCCCGCCCCCCGAGGGCTCCAGTCCCCTCCACTCATCTCTGAAACCCAGTGTCCTTTTTAGCTGCTTGAAAACATTTTTTTAAAAAAAAGAAAAGCGATGCAGTATCCGTGCGTCCCAGACGAGGGCCGGGGTCCGAGCCCTCCGCCTTCTGCGCTCGCGAGCCCCCAGCACGGGACAGTGAGACGCCCAGGGCGTGGCCCACAGGGCCCCGGTGACCTCTGCTCCTGCCCCCAACCCTGTGACCTCGGACACTCCACGTGCTGCCCCTGCCAGCGCCGGGCACGAAGTTCAAGTCCATCCTCCTGCTTGTGACCCGTCACCTGTCCCAGGTTGGAGCCACAGACGCCCCCCAGCCCCGCACTCCGGCTGGGTCTGCATTTGTTCCTGTGCCTTTGCCTTCCGGAACGCGGCCCCCGTCCCCACCCCCGGGCCTGGAAGCTCAGCCCCCTCCCGCCCTCCTCGCCGAGCCGCGTCCAGGGCCACCGCCCAGCCACCAGCCTCTGTCCAAAATGCACACGCGTGGTTCTGCGTTTGACCCACCCCCTTCGCCTCTTTGGGAGCCTCGGAGGCCACAGCACAAGTGAGATCTGCTGCTGGTTGTTCTTGCGACACTGCAGCAATCTAGAACATTCTCGAGCCCCTTTAACTCGGATGCCACGCCACAGGGCGATCCCCACCAATACCTCCAACCCAGCGAAGGAGCCGTGCCCACCTCACCGCGGGGGCTCGGAAGGCGGCTCCGAATAGCCTGGCCCAGAAACAGGAAGATACAGGGCATCGGACGCTCGAGTGTGTTGAAAGTCACTTGGGAAAATAAATCCCAGTGAGGGACTGGCCGAGGCCACGCTCGTTCGAAGCCTGGAGCAGGGGGCCCTCGTTCAGAAGGAAGATCTACCCCGGGAGGAAAGACGGACTTTTCTAATGTGGTCCAAACACCAGTCACCCGGTCAGGTGGCCTCTAGAAGCAGTGAGCTCCCCGTCTCTGGGGGCATTCAAGAAAAGGCTGGACAGTGTTTGCAGAAAGTGGTGCGTGAGGTCCCCTCCAATCCTAAGTGTTTCTTTGTCTGTGAACCTGAGCAAAACTGGCGCGGGCACGTTCCCCGGACCCCTCTTTCTGGCTTTGCAGTTCACTTCTCACCACGCGTCACCATGCGTCACCACCTCGCGTCACCGGGGCTCACGGCCTCAGGGGAAATGTCGAGTGTTTCTTGACCTGGGACGGCCAGGAGGCGCCTGTCGGGTTATCCCAGGACCGGAGGGCAGCTGGTGGCGTTCAGTGCTGAGGGCCGGGATGCAGGACGACTTGCCACGTGTGACGGGGAACTGGACGTCCCACCCCGAAACCGGCGGCGCCCGCCCTGAGCGAGGCCGCTTCCCAGCCGGCAGGGGGCCCGCGAGCCCCACCTGGGAGCTGCTGGCCGTGCCGGGGACATCTCTGGCCCCGTCGCCGTCCTGCTGAGCTGGGACATTTGGGGGTCTGGTGGGCTTTTATGTTTGTGCTTCCCAAGTGTCAAATAAAGGACAAAGGCAGGGTGGTGTCTGGGGGTCGGGTGTGTCACCTGGAGACTGAGGCGCAGAGGCGGGGGGAGGGCCTCTCCCGGCTGCCCACGGCAACAGGTGCTCTGAGGACCCCGTGGCTGCCCCGCCACCTAGGCGGGCACGTGGCCCAGAAGTCCCCAAACTCCCACCCCAGGGAATGGCGTCTCCGCCGCAGCCAACGCAAGACGACAGGCACCGTCCGAGCGCTCCGAGCTGGCAGCTTCCGGCAGATGCCGGCCAGGCCCGGCAGACGGACGGTCTGTCCCTGCCCCGTGACCAAAGGGCCGTCACCCCAGCATGAGCCTCTCTCCCCCGAGCAGTGACAGTGACCCCCGAGCCTCGGTCGTCCTTGAGGACTGGGGCCTCCTCCCCCAAGTCGAACGAAGGAGCCAGCGATCGCAAGGTCTGTCCTACCGCGCAGACCGTGAGTTACTGGGTGCCTACGGCGGCACGACAAGTAAGGTCTTCCTACCCTCTCCAGCGGTGACGCCGGGACCCCCCACCACCCCTCGGACCACCAGCGCAGCCCGGACCTCGGCATGCAGGACCCCGAAGCGGCCGCAGCGGCCCGAGCAGAGAGAGGCCCCCGGGGAGGCCACACGTCCACACCTCTGGGCTGGCCACCTGTCGCCGGTGGGGACAGCTCCGTTCCAAGGGGGCCACCGTCCCCAAGCGGGCCGCTCCCACCCCAACCAAAGGCCGGCTTTGCGGCAGATTTCTGTCTGGGGGCGGGAGGAACAGTTTTGGACAAAATGCAACCGACCCCGAGCCGTCGTCGTACAGGGACGTTCGGTTTCTCTCTGGTGACACTGGGACGCGGCAGGAACCCCCCCCCAAGTCGTAGTGCGTGCGCCCATCCCCCGTCCTGCGGTGAGTTCTGCGGTTTTTCAAAACCAGGAGCGACCGTGATGGTCTGACTGTCGTGACGTGAAGACGCCATCTCCGTGGGCTTGGGGGATTTTTATGTGAAATAAATAAGCTGTCTGAGCGGCGGGGCTGTGCTTCGTGCTTTGGCCTTGGCCTTGACCTTGGCCTTGGCCTTGGGCGTGGTGCAGGAGGGGGCGGGGCGGCTGGGCGACCCCAGTCTCTCTCCCACCCGCGCCTTGGCCTCTCCAGAATCCGGCCTGTTTAGCAGGCAGTAACCATAGCAACATCAACCCCACCATTAGTAACGATAACAGCCGTGCCCACCTGGCACCTCCCCCAAGTCTACGAGAGGGAGACTGAGGCAGAGAGAGGTGACGCGGCTCCCCCAGGGTCACAGGGAGAGTGAGTGCGTGAGGGGTCCGAGGCCTGGCCCTGTGCCCCGTAGCTAACGCCACCAGGTCCAGGGCTGGGGACCCGCCACCCCTCTGCCAGCTGCCGGCGGGCTGGGGGCTGCGCCCTGGCACGGGCTCAGGCGGACCTACGACCGCAGGTGCAGGCGCAGCCCTGCTTTTGTCGGTGCTGGTGACAGGGACGCCCAGGCGGCATCACAGGGCTGCAGCTCCATGGGCCGATGTCGGGGACGGGCGGGGCGGGCCCACCAGGCGGCACCGGCCCCTCTCCCCAGAGCGGCCGCTGGGAGGCGCCGGGCCTTGCGGGGAAGCGGCGGGGCTGGCTGAGGCGGGGTGCTGGGACTGTGGGCCACTCGCAGCTTCAGGGTGACAGTCATTCCCTGCCCTCTTCCCACCCCTTGGATTCTACCCTAAGGGGGTGTCTTGAAAACCCCACTCGCTCCCTCATTCATTCATTCCTGGATGGGGGCCTGGGGACCCAGCCCCATGTGGCTCCCAGCCAAGGGACGAGGGGAAGGCTCCCCTGACCTGAGACCCCGGGAAGCAGCGGGCTGGGGCCGGGCTGGGCCTGGGCCGGGTCAGGCGGCCAGCGGGCGTTTCAGCAGAACCCAGAACTAAGTTCAGGGCCTAGTTACTCTTTGTTTCTTTCTTTCTTTCTTTTATAGAGTCTCACTCTGTCACCCAGGCTGGAGTGCAGTGGCACGATCACAGCTCACTGCAGCCTCCAACTCCTGGGCTCAAGCGATCCTCCTGCCTCAGCCTCCCAAGTAGCTGGGACTATACAAGTGCCACCGCGCCTGGCTGATTTTTCCATTTTTAGTAGAGACGGGGGTCTTGCTATGTTGCCCAGGCTGGTATCGAACTCCTGGCCTCAAGCGATCCTCCCACTCCAGCCTCCCAAAGTGCTGGGATTACAGGTGCGAGCCACCACCCATGGCACCAGGCCCCCTTTTTTCTTATTTGAGGTGAGAGTCACTTAAAAGGCAATTAACCATTTTCGAGAGTACATTCAGTGGCATTTAGTACTTTCACAATGTTCTGTGACCACCACCTCTCTCTAGAGGTTCCAGAACATTCCATCCCAAAAGGAAGCCCTGTCCTCATCAGCAGTCACCCCTCCAACCTCCTCCCCAGCTCCCGGCAGCCACAAATCCACCTCCCACCTCTGTGGATCTGCGTGTGGTGGACATTTCCTATAAACAGGATCCCACAGGGTGTCACCGGGTCACTATTCGATGACCCGGCCCCTGGGCTGGTTGGGGACAGACCAGTCTGTATTTGGAGCCTCCGGGGCCCCCTCCCTCTGCCCCCGGCTGGGGCTGGCTGGCCCGGGAGGCTCCCACAGGCGTCCTGCCAGGCCTGCATCTGGGCGCCTCAGTCACTGTCGCCCGAGGCCACGTGCCCCAGCGGGAGGCTCCCAGGACATTCTTGCCACAGAATCTGGGCCAGAGGTCATGCGCCCGCGAGCTGGGCTGTGCTGCCCGCCTCCTGGGCACCCGGTGGAGCTCAGGCCTCACAGACTCAGCCGCCCGCCACGCTGCCAAATGGGGAAACCGAGGCCCAGGGAAGGGCAGAGCTGAAGTTCAGCCGGGGTGGCCGGGCTCGAGGGGGGAGGGGGAGGAAGACAAGGAGGGGTGGGCGGACGGGTCATTTGGACACATGAGGCCACAGGGGAGAGTTCAGGACAGAAGAGGGACCTCACCAGCCCTGGGTCTTTGCGAAGCTCCCTCTGGCCGCAGCCGTGTAGACGGGAGGGTCTCGGAGAAGTGACCGGGACACCAGAGAAGCAGGGCACTCGCCCAGGTGCACGCGCCCTGGGGCCGGGGCCAGGGGGACGGGCAGGTGCAGCTGCAGGGCTTGGTGAGCAGGCGGGGACAGAGCTCACTTCCTCCGGGCGCTACGACAAACTGTCCCCGGCTCGGTGGCTCCAAACAGCAGGAATGGGGTCTCACGGTGCTGGCGGCCACACGTCCAGAAAACCAGTGTCACTGGGCTCGCGTGGAGGCGTCAGCTAAGCCTCGGGCCCACGGGAGGCTCCCGGGAGGACCTGTCCCCTGCCTCTTCTTCCAGCTTCCGGTGGTTTCCGGCGTCCCACAGGTGCCGGGACCGCCTGCTCTGCGTCCCTGTCAGGTCTCCCTCCCGCCTCCCTCATAAAAGCAGCAGGTATTTAGGGCCCACCTGGACCACCGGGATCATTCCCCAGCTCAGATTCCTTAAATTTCATTTCTTAGAGACAGGGTCTCACCCTGCGGCCCAGGCTGGAGTGCCGTGGTGTCATCACAGCTCGCCGCAGCCTCAAGCGATCCTCCTGCCTCAGTCTCCCAAGTAGCTTGGACTACAGGCCCACGGTACCACCCCCAGCTAATTTTTTATAGAAATGGGGTCTCACTATGTTGCCCAGGCTGGTCTCAAACTCCCAACCTCAAGCGATCCTCCTGCCTCAAGTGCTGGGATTACAGGTGCGAGCCACCATGCCCAGCTGATTGTCATTTTTGTTCTATTTTATTAACAGCTCATGCATGTACAGAAGATTATCTTTAAATATTAACGAGCGTTTTAAATTCTTCTCCGTGGCTGAGGCCAACGTATTAAGCCAGAGTTCGAGGAGGCTGCCACCCAGGAGCAGCACTAGCCAGGGAAGCAGCTGTGGCCTGTGCTCTCTGCAGGGGGACCTGGGGACGCAGTGCTTGAGGAGAGAGGACACACAGGCAGAAGAGGGAGGGTGGGGTGGGCATTTTGAGGCCAATGGTTCCATTCTGGCGAGGCTCTAGCTAAATCCCGGGAAAGCGGCACTTCACGCGACACAAGGCCGGTGTCAGAAGAGGGAAGGAAGAGTGGATACTGCAGGCGCCCCGGGTAGGGGGGGGACAATGGCCGGTCTTGGCTTGCGTCTGCTCTGCGCCCGGGAAGATAAACTTGCCACCAACATTATTAGCGCAGAATCCAGCAGGCGTCAGTTTTCGGAGCTGGACGTAGCCTGCAGACCCCAAGTCACAATTTGCACGTCCTGAGGAACGGGAGGCCAGGGAAGCTCTTCCGTAAGGATGATCTGTTGGCGGGGCAGCCCTGGGAGATGCTAGAGGCCTCTTGGTGTCGCCGAGCACTCAGAAGCGGGTGTTGCGTGACTCAGTCCCGACTCCTGGGGGCTTCTCTTTTGCACACGGAGCTGGGGTGGCCCTGAGATTTGCACCTCAGCACCCTTCGTGGGTGTAGTGGTTAAAACCTTGTCCTTGACCAGACTGTAGCCGGGCTCTTCTGAGCTCAAGGCGTCCCCGTCCTTGGGCAAGACACCCCCCCCCAAGAGCCCGGTTGCAGCAAGAATCCCGCCCAGCGGGTGTCGCCAAGACTGCCCCCACCCTCCAGATGAGATCCCCCTCCATCTCTAAGCAAACTCCTCGTCCTCCAACTCCGATCTGCACCAAGAATCCCCTTAGACCAGGTGCCAAGATTCCTCCACCTCTCGGCCACCTCCTGTCCCCTGGACACCCCCCACGCACCCACCTGCACCAGGCTACACATCCCGCCTTCCCTGTTGTCGTGGGAGATCGAGCCCAACCTCTCTCTGCTACCAAAAAACCCCAGATTGTTGTCCTGTTAACGAAAAAAAAAAAAAAAAAAACCACCACCAAACTCTGTAAAATAAAGAGATTTTATTGTGAGCCGAGTGTGTGTGACCCACAGCCTGGAGCACGTGTTTGCAAGAGGTTCGGAGAAAAGGTGCCCTGGTTAGCCAGGTCACAGGTTGGTTTTATACGTTCGTGGGGACAGGAATGACACGTAAAATCACAAATCGACACAGAAGGTGGAAGCCGATTTGGTCTCAAAAAGGTGGGAGGACTTCAAGTGGGAGGAGGGGCGGATCACGGGTTCCAGGCGGGTTTAAAGATGTTTAGATTCGTGGGTGGGTAAGGAGATGCAGGTTCGTCTAAAGCCTAGGAACGTTTTAAGACAAGGGAGTACGTTAGGAGACGAGGGGTCTGTTAAGTACATTGATGGCCTGCAGGTGTGTCTTTCTTTTTTTTTTTTTTTTTTTGAGACAAGAGTCTCACTCTGTCGCCCGGGCTAGAATGCCATGACATCAGCCTAGCTCACAGCAACCTCAAACTCCTGGGCTCAAGTGATCCTCCTGCCTCAGCCTCCCGAGTAGCTGGACTATAGGCATGTGCCACCATGCCTGGCTAATTTTTTCTATATGTTTTTAGTTGTCCAATTAATTTATTTCTAATTTTTTTAGTAGAGACTGGGTCTCGCTCTTGCTCAGGCTGGTCTTGAACTCCTGACCTGGAGCAATCCGCCCGCCTCGGCCTCCCAGAGTGCTGGGATTACAGGCGTGAGCCACCGCGCCGGGCCTACAGGTGTGTTTTAACCTTTGTTTTGCAAGGTCGTAGGTCCTGGTGAAGATCTAGTATCTTTACGGTGTTTTCTGGGGTCCCCTTGGCCAAGAGGAGGTCGCCTCATTAGTCTGGGGAGCTTAAGATTTTATTTTAGTTCACAGCCCCCAACCCGACTTACCGTTTTAACAGCGACCGAATCATTCTTTCCCTTCACCCGCAGAAACGCCAGATCGCCAGGGCCCACCGCCCCCCCCAGGCTACTGCGGGTGTCACTGAGTCAAGTGACTCTGGGCCGCGCCATGGGCACACCATGAATGGCCCCTGCTGTCACGCTGAGATGTCCTGGCCGGGCCCTGGTCACCGGGGCAGAGCTAGTGTGAGTCACCCCTGCAGATCCTAAGCCCCCCTTGGCCTCAGCACCCTTGGAAAAGGAAGTCCCCGCAGGGCCCCAGCCCTGCCCGGGCCGCCTCCTCCGTGGCTGCTTCTGGCCGGCGGGTTCTCTCTCCTGGGCCTCGCCAGCACCAGTCTTAATGTCAGGGTCAGGGCAGGGGACACAGCGATGACATTTTCAGGGAGAGCAGATGCAGGGCTGCTGATCTGGGCTCCCTGGCCAGGAGGGGGGAGGCGGGGGAGGGGCCGGAGGGGGTTGGGGGAGGGGAGAGGCCGCCCTGTGCCCGGCTGCCTGCCTGCTGTGACTAATTTAGGCAAAGGGCAGCCTGGAGCTACCTCCATTTGGTGGCATGAGCTGCAGCCGCCTCCCCCGGGGCGGCCTCCGGGGGCTGCCAGGCCCTATAAAGGCTCCGGGTTTTCTCAATGAAGGTGGGACCAGCTAGGGCTGCCCGGGAGCCGCCAAGTGCAGACTCCGCCGCTGCCACCACCACCACCGCCACCACCCCACCGCCGCACTCGGGGACATGAAGCTCATCGTGGGCATTGGAGGGTGAGCGCGGGGGAGGGGCGGGGAGGGGAAGAGGAGGAGGGCGAGGCAGCGGCAGGGGAGGCTGGGGAGTGAATGAATGGAAGGCTGCCCAGGGCGTCTGAGGTCGCAGGGCCCACCGCCCAAGGTCTAAGTGCAGGGAGGGTTCTCTGCCCCCGGGCGTGGGGAGTGGGCGCCAAGCCCGATTTTTCATTTTCCAAATGAAAATCACCCCCCCCCACCGCCAATGATCATAGTCAGTGCCAAAAAGCAAAAATCCCATCTTCGTTTCCCACTGGAGGTAAAAAAAAAAATCTGGACAGAAAATTAAAGCCGGGGACAGACACGTGGGCGAGGGGGGCAGGTCCCCACAATGTCACTGGGCAGGACACATGTGGCCTCGGAGATTCAAACTCTGTTTTATCAGCGATAACGACGGACACATTTAACAGGCAGCGCTGGTTTCCTGGGCTGTCACCACCCTCGGGAGGGACTGGAGCTGGGTGTCAGGCCCTGCTGCCCCCTCTTGTCATGCCTGCCGTGTTCTGCGCAAGGGGCGTCGCGTTTTCATTCCGCACCGGCTCTGCAAATTCCGCACCCGGCTGAGAGATGGTCCTTTCCCTGGCGACCCGGATCGATGTCCTGTCGTCCAACCTGCTGCTTCTGGGTCACCTGTGGGGTCCCCTCTTCCCCTCAGTCCTCTGTAAGGGCTGCCATGTGTGATCCCTCGTCCCACGCCCAGCTTTACGGCCGGGTTCCTCCAACAGCGATGATGGAAGGAAAGGGACATTTGGATGCCAGAAAGGCTCCGGAGTGACCCTTGCATTTCGTAAGCTCTGGGAGTCAAGACTCTTTTTTTTTGAGACAGAGCCTTGCTCTGTCGCCCAGGCTGGAGTGCGGTGGCATCATCATAGCTCCCTGCAGCCTCCAACTCCTGGGCTCGAGCGATCCTCCTGCCTCAGCCTCCCGAGTAGCTGGGACTACAGGTGCAGCCACCACGCCCAGCCTCCTTTTTTTTTAAATGATTTTTTTTAGTGGGGACTAAATCAGGCTCAGGCCTCAGATCAATGAACGGTCACCCTCCTGGGTTTGCACCGCGGTGACATCAACCCACACATGTCAAGGAGGACTTACAAGGTCCTTGGCACCTGCAGAGTCTGTGTCGTGTTAGGTTTTTTTTCCTTCGGTTTCTACCTCTTTTCAAGTCTAATCCTGCACAGACAGGTCATTTGCAGGGAGGCTCCCCTCCGCCAGACCCAGACGGGCCCCAGGGGACCTCAGGTCCCCGAGCAGACCTGCCTGGCCTCCTCCCGGGCTGCCCGGCAGCCTCACGCGCACGCTCTCTCGCCAGCGTGACCAACGGCGGCAAGACCACGCTGACCGACAGCCTGCTCAAGGCGCTGCCCAACTGCTGCGTCATCCACCAGGACGACTTCTTCAAGGTGGCCGCCCTCGCCCGGGGCGGGCAGGGGCAGGGGACCCAGGGCAAGCCGCCACTCCCCGCCAGACCCCTCCTGGTGACCCTGGGAGAGCAGCCACTGTGACACGCCCAGCCCGCACCCACAGCCACAGCGGGGAGCGCCGTTAGCCTGAGGGGAAACTCCGGTCCCCAGAGGGGCCGCGCCACGCTGTGGCCTTCCCAGTAAACACCCTCTATTCACCTGCACCTCAACCTTCCCATCTGCAAAATGGGCTCTGGGCCCACGCGGGCTGCACTGTGGAGGGTGAGGGCCAAGGAAGTGACAGCCCGGGAGAACCCGAGTGCCACCCCACCCAGGGCCCCGACGCCGCGGGTAGGGGTGAGGCGGGGCGGGCAGCAGCCATCCCTGAGCGCGAGGCCTGGGCCCCTCTTGTTTCAGCCCCAAGACCAAATCGCAGTTGGGGAAGACGGCTTCAAACAGTGGGACGGTAAGGACGACGGTGGCCCCCGCCCGCCCCCGGCCCCCGCTCTGCCCGGCCCTCCTCCAACGCCCGCCCTGCCACCCCCAGTGCTGGAGTCGCTGGACATGGAGGCCATGCTGGCCACCGTGCGCGCCTGGCTGTGCGGCCCCCAGAAGTTCGCCCGCGCCCACGGGGTCAGCGTCCGCCCGGACGCCGCGGACACCCACATCCTCATCCTGGACGGCTTCCTGCTCTACAGCTACCGGTCAGCCTGCGCCCGCCCCGCCCTTGCGGGGCCTCCCTGGGGCCTCCCGGGTGGGTCGCACCCCTGCGTCGGCCGAGGGGGCACCAAGCTCGGGGGGGAGGGGGGCAGGAGTTGGGGGCAGAGCTGGGATCGACGCAGGCCTGGGGCAAACAGCCACCCTTCTTGGGGAAACTGAGTCCTCCTCCTAGACCCTCAGCATTCTCAGGCAGACCAGGAGCCTGGGCTGGACCCTCTGGCCTTGCTGTGTGACGCTGGGCAAGACGTTGCACCTCTCTGTGCCCGTCTGAACTGGGGGAAGGGCGTGACTCCATTTCTGGGGGAGGTTGCCGTAGGGATTTGGCCCGAGCTGGTTCCCCCCCCCCCGTCCCTAAACGCGCCAGCTCAGACCCCCACCTGCCTGCTCGCTCCCTGGAGGCCGAGGCCAGGGGGACACTGTGTTTTGGCCGTGGCCGAAGGCAGGGTCGGGGGCTGACGGTGTCACCACGCCCGCGCAGGCCCATGGTGGACTTGTACAGCCGCCGGTACTTCCTGACCATCCCGTACGAAGAGTGCAAGTGGAGGAGAAGGTGGGTCTGGGACCCGCAGGGCTGGGGGGGTCCCGCCAGGCCTGGCCCTGAGCCTGCAAATGCCACCAGACAGGGCAGGCGGGGACACTTAGCCGGCCAGGGCTGAGGGCCAGGAGCCCGGAGCCCGAGGCCTAGAGAGAGTGGCCCACTCACCCCCCTCCCCCGCCCCGGGTCCCCTGCTCGCTGGTGCCACCCCTGACCCCGCCTAGTTCCAGGCCTGTCCTCGGCACTCGCCGCCGTGGGTGCGGGCTGTTCCTCACTCTGCGTCTCCCTGGGCAGCACCCGCAGCTACACGGTCCCCGATCCTCCCGGCCTCTTTGACGGCCACGTGTGGCCCATGTACCAGAAGTATAGACGGCAGATGGAAGCGGACGGCGTGGAAGTGGGTAAGGCCCCGCGAGACCAGGCCTTCCCCTGGCTGGGGGACCCCGAGCCCAGCCCCTCTCCACCCTAAATGCCCTTTAGGCCTCCCGGCTGGGGTCCGTTTGGGAAAACTGGAAGTCCCTCCTTGAGTCTCACCACCCGTCCCTCTTGCTGTTGGCCCGGAAACTGGTCTGTTGCAGCAGGCGGACCGCGCAGTCTGCCCCTGCCCTGTGCCCTGTGCCCTGTGCCCTGTACCCTGTGCCCTGTGCCCTCTCCCCCTGGCGGCAGCCCCGGGCCCCGGCAGCCGACTGCGGCCTTTCTGATTCCAGTCTACCTGGACGGCACGAAGCCCCGAGAGCAGCTCTGCCAGCAGGTCCTGGACGACATCCGGAACTCGCTCCTGAACCAGGCCCAGGCCGCGGCCCCCACGCCGGCTCCGCCCGCCAGGCCGCAGGGACCCGGACGCGGCGGCGGCCACAGAGCAGCCAGGCCCGCGGCGGCCCAGCCGGACGCTGTGTGACTGTTTCCCTTTGGGGAGTCTGCGCAGGCAGGCCAGGGGGGAGCCCCGCTCGCAGCCCCGCGCCTCGGGGCGCCCGGACCCAGCCCGAGACGCCCCTGCGACAGCCACACGGCTCGAGTATTAAACCCGGTCCTGTTTTGTAGCCACCAGGGTCCGGCGTGTTCTGTGGGCCGTCCTGTCGCCTCTCCTGGGCTCGTGGGTGGCTCTGGGGGCTGAGAGCTCTGGGCAGTGGGATGGTTGGGGGGTCCCTGGAGCCTCAGTTTCCCCAAAGGAGAAATTTCCTGGAAGCTTTCAGGACGTTCCCAAGGTTTCCCTGGCCCTTCCCTGCGGCTGTCCCTCCTCAGCCCGTCCTTGTTCTCTGTGACTGACCCAAAATGTCCTCAAAGCACACACTTCCCGTCCGGTAGTCGAACCCGACCCCTCTGCCACCGGGCTCACATCTCCCTGAACTCTCCCAGTAACCTCCCTGAGGACATTTTACGACTTATGCCCATTTCATGGAGGGGTAAACTGAGGCTCAGAGTAGCCTGGTGGAGCTGGGCTTTGAACAGGGGTCTCCCCAGACACCGCAATTCCTTCTGCCCAGGCCTGGCGGATGTGGTTGGGGCATCCCTTGGCCCGAGGGTGACACCCCATGGCCAGCCCTGGAATTGCAGCCATAAGTCCCCTCAGTCCAGAAAACCTCCTGCAGTCCAATTTGGACAATGCCAGCGACTATTTAGAAATTATGGGGGACAGAAAATAAAAAAAGCCATAACTATATGGCCCAGCAATTCCACTCCCAGGAATCAACCCAGAAGAATTTAGAGGGGTTCAAACAAAAGTGCATTCACAAATGTTCACAGCAGCGTGTTGTACAACAGCCAAGAGGTGGCAACAGCCCACATGTGCCTCCAGGGACAAATGACACACATGGTGGTCTGTCCCTATGATGCAATGTGATTCAGTCTTTTTTTTTTTTTTTTGAGACAGAGTCTCACTCTGTTACCCAGGCTAGAGTGAGTGCCGTGGTGTCAGCCTAGCTCACAGCAACCTCAAACTCCTGGGCTCAAGCAATCCTCCTGCCTCAGCCTCCCGAGTAGCCACCATGCCCAGCTAATTTTTTCTATATATTTTTAGTTGTCCACCTAGTTTCTTTCCATTTATTTTAGTAGAGACGGGGTCTCGCTCTTGCTCAGGCTGGTCTTGAACTCCTGACCTCGAGCAATCCGCCCCCCTGGGCCTCCCAGAATGCTAGGACTACAGGCGTGAGCCACTGCGCCCGGCCTGTGACTTGGCCTTAAGCAGAAAGGACACATGCTGCCACCCGGATGGACCTGGAGGACATTTCGAGAAAGACGTCAGTCACGAAAGGACACCATTGTGCGATTCTGCTAACAGGCGACGTCCGGAGCAGACACATCACAGAGACAGGACGTGGGTTCGTGGTTGCCGGGCTGGGGGGGAGAGGAGTGACTGCCCATGGGGACAGGTGTTGTCTCTGCGCGGTGGTGGCTACACGACATTGTGATGCACTAAATGCTATGGAATTGTCCCCTTTGTGATGGCCCATCTCGCATTGTGTGAATTCCACCCGGACCAGGAGGAGAGGAGGCGGGAAGGGGCGCGGAGGAGGGAGGGCACGGTGTCGGGAGGACACGCGGGGCTGCAGGAGCGAGCGGGCCCCGGCCTGTGCCACGTCCCTGCCGTGCGTGTGTCAGTGGTGGGACGAGCAGGTGCTGGGACCGGGGGTCTGGGCGTCTGACTCACCCCACAGCCCAGGCCCCTCGGTCCACAGTCCCCAGGCTTCCCACCTGGGCTGCATGGATTTCTGCATGTCCCTCGGGCCCCTACCCTCCACCACGGAACCTGCGAGCTCTGCCCCCTGGGCGCCCATCTTGCCTCTGCCCAGCCCCAGCACTGGGGGCCCGGACCCCCCGGGAAATTGCTCTCTTCTTGTGCCCCGGCCCAGAGCCTCCCCTGCTGCCCCGGCCCACGCCCTTCCTGCAGCAGGAATCGCCTTGCGGAGCACCTGACGATGGCGACACCTCTTCCCTGCTCTGGCCTCGGGACTAGGCAGAGAGCAAGGCGCCAAGGAGAGTGTGCTAAGCAGAGGGACAGAGACACAGATGGAGGATGGATGGATGGATGGAAAGATGGGTGGATGGATGGGTGGATGGATGGAAAGATGGGTGGATGGATGGGTGGATGGGTGGGTGGGTGGATGGATGGATGGGTGGATGCATGGATGAGTAGGTGGGTGGACGGATGGGTGGATGGATGGAGAGATGGGTGGGTGGATGAGTGGATGGATAGATGTTGAGGACACAGACAGGCACAGAGGGACAACCACATGAGGACACAGGGAGAAGATGGCTGCCAAGGAAAAGACCAGCCAAGGAGAAACTCAGAAGACACCAGCCCGCCGGCACCTTGGCCTTGGACTGAGGGAGAATAACTTTCTGTTGTCTAAGCCCGCAGCCTGCGGCATTTGGTCACAGCAGACTCAAGGCGAACACAGACACCGCCGTGGATGGGAAAAGGCAGCCCACAGAACGGGAGAAAAGATTTGCAAATTAGACAGCAGAGGAGGACCCTGTATCTAGAATCGACAAAGCACTCTTACAACTCAACAGTAAAAAGAGAAACTACCCAATTAAAAACTGGGCAAAGGACATGCACAGACATTTCTCCGAAGAAGACACCCGTGGCCAGGAAGCTCGAGGAGACGCCGTGTCACTTGAGGTAGGGAAACGCCATCGAAACGCACCGAGTGACCACGGCACCCCCACTAGGACGGCTGTCACCGAACACAGACAGTCACGAGTGTCGGCTAAGAATGCAGACACGAACGGGTGTCACATGGAGAAAAAGAAATTTAAAAGAAAGAATGCAGAGAAACCGCCCAGCCCGGAACACTGGCGGTGGGAGTGTAGACTGGCGTGGCTTCTGCTGGCAACGATGTGGCAGTTTTTAAAACAAGTTAAACATAGAA